TCCTTCACAGATGCTGCCAGACCTGCTGAGCTTTTCCAGCAACCTTTGTTTTTGTTCCTGATTCACAGCATCAGCAGTTCTTTCAGTTTACATTTAATTTGCTAATCTGAGTTTCCTTATGCAAATTTGCACTCAGGTAGTAATTCTGAAATTCTGAAATTCTTATCTTTATGGTCCTGCATTTTTAATTCAGCGCTGAGTTGCTTGTAATCGCTCAGCAGAACCTCCTTCCTAGTCCTGCCGCTGTCATTGGTACCTACAAGGACCACAGCACTTGAATTCTTCTCCTCCCTTTACAAGTTCCTCTTCAGCCCAGAGGAGATGTCCTTGATTTTCACACCAGGTAGACAACACAGCCTTTGGGACTCTGTCTTTGCTGCAGAGAGCAATATTAATTCCCCTAACTGTCCTATGTTAGTCTTACATTTCTATTTTCTATCTCCCTGCCCCTTACCCCACTTGAATGGCGCTCTGTACCACAGTGTTTTGGTCAGTTTGCTCATTCAACTTGCACTCTGTGCTTTTGTCCACATGCATGGCAAGAACCTCACACTCAGGGTCACTGAATTATAGAGTCGTACAGCATGGAAACAGATTCTTCAGTCCAATTTGACCATGCCGACCAGACATCCTATATTAACCAGTCCCATTTACCAGCATTTGGCCCATATCCCTCTAAACCCTTCCTATTCATGTACCAATCCAAATGCCTTTTAAATGTTATAATTGTACCAAACTCCACCACTTCTTCTGGCAGCTTGTCCCATACACGCACCACCCTCTGCGTGAAAAAGTTGCCCCTTAGGTTCCTTTTAATTCTTTCCCCTCTCACCTTAAACCTATGCCACCGAGGTTTGGATTTCCCTACCCTGGGGAAAAGAACTTGGCTAGTTGCCCAATGATTTTATAAACCTCTATAAGGTCACCCCTCAGCCTCTTACGCTCCAGGTAAAGCAGCCCCAGCTGTTGAATAAGGGGAGAAAGCACCTCCAAAGTTAAATCCTGGATCCCAATACTTGTCTCACCATCACTGCCCTTCCTTCTCATTTAGATCTGTTCCCGCTGTCTGCTTCTCAGTGATGCTAACTTGTTACACTCAACTCCCAGTCTGCCTCACAGCAATACTGACCCGATACACACTCCTCCCAGTCTAATTCACAGTCACACTGACCTGCTGCACACTCCTCCCCATCTGCTTCATCGTGATGCTGACTTGTTACACAATGAAACTTCAAACCTCCAGCACTTCTTGCTAAAGAGAGATCTCCCATGGGAATGTTGTCCTGGGTCAGATACAAATTGCATTGCAATCGCAATGTGTTAATCAATTTCAATGCCTTCATAGTGTTTGCTGTTTTGACCCACGCATTCGATATCTTATCATTCTTAAAACACTTCACACCTCATCCTTGGCACTGTAAGGACATCCATTTCAGCCACTCTGTCCCCCACTAATTTTTATAATTTGAGTTTAGCATCCTCACCAAATCCCTTCTCTCTTCAATATCCATCTCCTCATCAAGATACACACCAACATCTGCAGGGGACCAAAATCTCTCGCATCACCTTTAATTTATCAGCTCCATTATTATACCCACATGACTCTCCTTACTAAACTGGAATAATGGCTGGATGATCTTATCTTCAGATTGTTCCAGTGCCACAAGCTTTTGCACTTCAAACTGCAAAATGCCCAATCCACCATCTCTATTGCGGGTGTATAAAATCCTATCCAATGTATAAATGGGTAAATGTAAAATTTCCTTAATAAAACCTCAAATAAAAGAGTCTAAGATACGTAAAATATTCTGGGGTGCCTCTGCTAAAACCAAATGATAATGCAATCTGAGTATAAAATAGTTCCTAAAAATCTCAACCTTCTGTATTGGGCGGAGGACTAATCTTTTCAAATTCTCTGACCATTCTTTCAACTTACTCTCCCAGTCAGCTAATTATTACTTTGCGTAATAATCTTATATGTGGACTTTTGTCCAATACCTTCTGCAAAACCAAGTACAGGAAATCAATGGGTTGCACTTTATCTAAAGTACATGTTAATTATTCAAAGATTTCCAATAAATTGCTTACACACAATTTTCCTTTCATAATATATGGTGACAGTTCCTAATTACCTTGAGCTTTTCCAAGTGCCCAATTATAACTTTCTTAATGATTGGTTCTAAGACCTCGAGACAGACGCCAAGCTAACTGCCTATATTTTCCTGTTTTTTGCCTCCTTTCCTTCTTAGAAAAGTTATATTTGTTACTTTTGGTCTGAAGGACGCTCTCCAAATTCTAATGCATTTTGGGAAGTTAGCACTAACTCTCCTACTACCTCATCACATTCTCTTTTAAGAATCTAGAATGAAGTCTATCAAGACTCCATGACTTGTCAGTCATCAGCTCCATCAGTTTGGTCAATACTGCTTCCTTAGTGATTATAATCTCACTGTATTTCTCTCTCCCTTCAACTTCCTGATATAGTGATATTGCTGAGATGCATTTCATACCCTCTATAATGAAGACAGAAACAAAATATCTATACATTACTTCTGCCATTTATATTTTATTTACTAACTCGCCATTCTCACTATCTTGAGGATCAACACTCACTTGCTTATTCTTTTCCAATATAGATACATATAGAAGTTCTTGTTATCTGTTTTACATTTCTAGCTAGCTTCCTCTCATACTTTAATTTATTTAACCTGAATAATCTTTTTGTCATTCTCTACCTTTCCCTGGACTCAGATCAGCCACTTATCTTTGCAGAATTATATACTTTTTCTTAATTTTGATGATTTCCTTATATGTTTCTTTAGTTAACTATAGATGGTGAGTCCACCATTTGGAAATTTTCTTTACATTATGAAAATTCTTTTTCCATATGTCCTGAAATAGCTCCCACTGTTTCTTTACTGATGTAACTCTTATCCCAATATCCCAGCTCACTTCAGCTAGCTCTGTTTTCAATTGCACGTAGTTGTCTTTCTTTGCTTAACTTTGAAATAGTGTGTTTAGAGTGATTATTCTCCCTTAAGAACCTGATATAAAATTAAAATCATATTGTGGTTGTTGCGACCTAGAGATGATGTCTGTCTGAGGCTAGTATTCCACCCTGTGACATTACTGAGTACTAAGTCTTTAAAGACTGCACTCTGGTTGGTTCCAGAATGTGATGCCCTAAGAAATTATTTTGAAAGCATTTGACTCTTCATTAAAGTTATTACTACTTATCAGATTTCCAGTTAAATGTTGACAAAATCTTTCATTATT